CTTGGAAATCATAACTGACTGCTGTTAAGTAATATAGTTATATGGAAGCCACAGCTTGGGCTGTCGAGAAGAAGAGTCTAGGACAAGGGGTTTCAGTCTGTACAGTTGTTAGAAGCTCCCAGACTAGTGCTGAGACTCACAAACAGCAACGAAGAAAAAACAAGCCTAATGTATAGCAAATGTGAAGCTCTGATATGTCCTGCTTGTTCTGGGAACTGTGGGTAAGTCAGCTAGATGATTTCTCCAGAAGCCTTAGACAGGACTTGGGCTGTCTGGTGTCTGTTTTTGTGCTGGACTCAATCCACTGGCTGCACAAAACTCAACCACTGTGTAATTTACTAAAGAAGCTGTTATTAAAAATTATGTAGAAGCTTATATTTTTGAAAGCTTTTTACTGTAATGTAGCTTGATATACTCTGAAGTGTTCATATGCAGTGGTTGGCTGGGTAAAACACCAAGCTGAAAAGTTTAGATGCCGTACATAGCTGTGACATGTAGCCATGGGGCTCTTTCTGCTTAGTCATTTTTGTTGATGCTGGTTTGCTTTTGGATTGGTCAAAGTCTCTTGGCTTATATAAAGGCAGTTTTAGAGAGTGTGGGAACATCAGTAGCTTGGTGTAACCTAAACACTGAAACTGGAAGCACAGCTTATAGTGCTGTGCTGGCTCAAGTTTAAGGCAATAGTAACGTAGTTCTGCTTTAGTAAAAGCTAAGCTGCTGAAGGAGCACTGTGTTGTGTTGGCAGATCATGTGGGAGGGTAGGCATTGGCCATTAAAGTCTGTTCTGAACTTAAACAGCTCTGTAGGATTATGGGCCTTTAGTCTTCCTCACCTCCCAAATCAGGTATTGGTTCAGGACTGGAATGAAAGGAACTGAGTGTCTAATTTAAAGCAGCCACAGGACTCTTCCCAGTATGTTGCTGCGTGGCAGCTATCCAGGTTTGTGCTGCTTTGGCTGTCAGCTGCTGCTTGAGCTGCGAAGGACTCTACCTGAAGCTGCGTCTAGGCTGAATGTAAGAATTTTTTTTCCTCTGAGAAGAAAAATTTCTATTATATTGAACTATTAGAAATGCCAAAAATACTAAACCAGAGTGTAATATACAGTAGTAACAAGTAAATTGCACTTGTTTAGGCACAGACATGATGGAAATGTGTTAATGTACTTGTTTACATTTAGAAAGTATCTATACAGTGTATCTTTAGCTAGACAAGAAATTTCAAAGGAAAATTGAGTGTTGAAAAAACAATGTGGAGGAATCCAGTTCTTTATAGGTTTCTAACTTCTCTGCTTTTCTAGCTCTTCAGCAGGGCTGTGTAGAGGACCTGCACCAAGAGCTTGTTCCCCCTCTCCCTGCCTGGAGGAGGGAATGAATCCTTTGCTTTCTGAAGCATATTCATCATCCATGTGTTCGCCTAGGAAAAATCCTGTTCAGGCTGCAAGTAGTTAATGACTAGCGGGTAGGAAATGACAGATGTAGAGAACAGGTGTCTCCTGCTCTGGAGTGCATGTCAGTGTTACCAGAGGCTCTGGTTGGTGGGCAGCAGTCCCTCTGCCTAGCAGCAGGCTTCTGTGGCTGAGTGTAGTGTGTGTGTGCGTGCTCTTTTCTTGCCATGGTGGCATCACTATTCGTTTGGGAGTTTGGCGCATGGATTTCACTACTGCGTGAGTCTCAGCTTCTGAAGAGATAGGTGGTACTACTAGTTAACTTCTCTGATAAGCAACACTGGCTATATCCAGGGGAAAAATCCCAAACCAAACCAACCCTAGCCTTCAGTGTTTGCAAGTTTTAATGAGTAGCAGCTCTTAGCATGGTAAAGCAGCCAAGGATGATGTCTTTTGTGTCCCAGTGCAAAACCTTCCTGAGCCTTCCTTTTCTTGCCTGCCAACCAGCCATTAGTTGATGTTCAGTTTAGCATAAATAATCTGGATGGAAAAGCTCATTTAAGCTTGCCTGTGGTAATTCTGCATACCTCTGGTGGAGAAGGTGCCTGAGCTTATATCCGTTGTTTTACCTCAGCTTGAAGTATTTGTGCAAGCAGTAGCGATTTGAACTATGCTTCAGTATTCCTACTGTGGAAGGAAAAAGAGAACCTTTTACAAGCAGACACCAGTGCCACCTCCTATCAAAGAAGTAACGTCATAATTTGCTTTATAGGCAACATCCACTAAGCAAATTTCCATAACTGCTGTAACTGAAGATTTTTGTCAATGGCTGTCCCTTTCATACAGTTTATAGATTTTTCTGCATTACAAGAGTTGGCACCCAGCAATCTTACTGTTCTCACAAGATCTCTTGCGATACAGTGCTGCAAGGTATTGGGTATGAGTCAGAGTGTAAGAGCTGGCTTTCATTGGGAACAAGTACATGAAAATGTTTGAAAGGACTTGAGGATAAAAAAATGTTATTTGCAGGCTGAGACAGATGTAAAAAGAAATTGAAATAGCACAAATCAAGAAATGGAGAAGAAAATGTGTATGTTGGACTCTAAAATAGTGTGGTATATTTAGACAGAAGCATGCTGAATTTGCTGGAGTCTGAACTTCTGGCAGGCTTGTTTACAGTCTTATCACTGAGAAGTGATAACTAGCAAACAATAAGGAAGCTAAATGTGAGCAGCTTGAGTTATAGCAGTTTACACAGGCCCAAACTATTTTCTCCCTGAGGAAATGAGGGAACTTGTGTTTTGGAGGCTTAAATTCAAGTCTGAAAGTCTTAAGGTGAGGTACTCAAATCTAATACTTGAACTTTTTCTGTTGACTTCTGTAGCTGTTATGCTGGATATTCTGTATTACAATACTAATCTGATATGCAAAAGGATGACTTGAAGTGTCCTGAACAGAGGTGGCTTTTTTGCACAAGCTATAGACAAAATTTTTTTAATAAAATCCTGCATGAAAAAGCAGGTTATATTCAACTACTAATGTGGTGGAACTTCTAATATCTGATGCTGGAGGAATGTTTGTAGTAGGGAGGTAGTAAGGGACTGATGAAGTCCATGTGAAACTAGTCCATGTGAGACCTAGTCTCTCTGCCCCTTTAACCTAAAATTAAATAGAACTGTTACTCAAGCTCATGCAGCTGTTTCCACAAAGCTTCATAGATGCCAGAGGGTGAAAACTGGTCTGTTTAGTGGAGGTGTGGCCATGCTATAGGTTTTGGTTTTGAAGCTTGTATCTTGGTTAAATAGCCTGCGATACTACCTTTTGTTTCAGGCGTTGTCTTGAGAAACATGATTTGGTTCAATACCGAAGTCTTTTGTCCTGCAACTTGGAGTGAATGGTTGACCTCATCCATTGACTAAACCCCTGCTGAGTAGCTTCTAAGAAAAGCCCTTCCAATACATTTTTTGGGATTTTAGCATTGAGTCATCTATGTGGATAATTTTGACTCTGAATTACAAAGTTGGTATTTCTGCTATCTACCTCTTCAGGACCTTGGTCCTTCACGTGAGCGGAGCACTTTCTTTTCCTTGCGTGGACTTAGTCTCTTGTAGGGCTTGAATTGATTCTTCTTGCATTTTTTTAACTGTGCTTTAAATAGTGAAGAACAGTGCCAAACAGTGACTGCAAGCTTATGAGCAAATCAGTTTGGACCTAACAGTAGCCGTTTCTCCATAAAGGTATGAATGAGGTTCTCGCTTGAAGTTCTTCTGTATGTACCTGAGGGCATTATAAGGACCTCTGAACTTAAGTCTGTGATTCTTAGAAATCAAGGCAAAATACAGTTGTTGGGTTTACAAAGAGGGAATATGTAGGCTGACTGTGCTGTGGAGTGTAATAATGAGGGCTGTATCATGTCTGTCAGGATTTAAAGTAAGTGCAGTAGTAACTGTAAAATAAAACAAACAAAAAAAATCCCTAATTTAATCTGGAAACTACTGACCAGTTGAAGGAATAACTTTTTCTCCCCTTACCCTGTCCTAAATAGGATAATCTCTATTTAGATAGATACGTCAGGACTTTGTATGTACTGTCGGAAGTGTTGGATCAAGAATTTCAATTTGGCATCAATATAGCATTTAAATTAGCTCTTGACCCAAAGCTATCAGTTAAGAGATGTTCTCTCCCCTCCCACCCCAAGTTGAATTTTAGACAGAACTCATCCGAGGTGTTAATTTCTGAATCTTACGTTTTTTTTCCTGGAGCAGGCTGAAAACAGAAGCTCAGTGGAGTCTGCCTCTAGGTTTGACTTCTGCATGGCTATTTCCAGAGAAGCCTTCTATCTGGCACTAACTGTGTGAATTGGCCCATGAACTTAGAATCTTGTATTGCTTATCATGAGTGGAGAGAACTGTGAAACAAAAGGAAAAAAAAAAACCAACACCAAAAAAACCCCAAAACAAAAACAAAAACAAACCCCCCAAAAAACCCAAACAAACAAAAAACAAAAACAAACAACCAACAACCTCCAAAACATAAACAGGATAACAGCTTATCTTCTATGCTTTCTTCTAGTAGTTCAGAATGTAGTAAATCATTAGCTCCAGAATGCACTGGGCACAGATCTCAAATGCTTTCAGATTCTGGAAGGAATCATTTGAGGGAAGTAGGATGTTAGTTTTAAATAAAACCATAGTGTGACTTTGTTCTTCTGTTAACATTTTCTAGAGTTAAAGATAGACTTCAGTTTAATCTGGCTCATCGGGGTTCTTATAAAGCTGTACGGCTTTTTTTGTTAGTAGAAAATCCGTTTTCTGACTTGCACACGTGCCTGTTGGTATCTAGTTTAGGAGACCATGTCCCACAGTTCTGAGTTATTTTGGCTTTTTTGCTCATGATGTGCTTAGTTTTAGAGTCAGATGATGGGTCTCGGCTCTGGCAGCGTGCTGTTGTGTGTGGTAGGGAGTGGAGGATACTCACTCAGGCCATAAGTCCATCAGTAGGCGCCAAATCACTGAAAGTCACGGGGTTTTTTGGTCATGTATAGAGGCATGAGCAAAACCAGCGAATGCGTATCATAGACACCTAAAGTCACTTTTAAATTCTTTTTCCTACACAGAGCTCAACAAAAATCCAGTGGAAGGCTTTTCAGCGGGCTTAATAGATGACAATGATCTTTATCGATGGGAAGTCCTTATTATTGGTCCTCCAGATACACTATAGTAAGTACTGATACTTATACAGAAACTTAAGTGAACTTGGATTTACTAGTTCTAGTTTGGTCTAAGTGAGTAGAACATAACCTAAATCCTCATATTGACTAAGTTAGGTAATGCCATTCTGTTGCTAGTAAAATACCTGTAAATAGCTGAATTTGCTATATAGAAGTTCTAAACTGCTTTGCTCCCCAGGGAAAATGCAACACTGATCCCTTTGTGCTTGTGTAGAAATGAGAATGAATAGGCTGTACTTAGAGGCAGCTTCTGTTTTCTTGCGTGTTTAAGGCAGGTATAATCCACTACTTGCTGTTACTGCTGCAAAGCTCTCATTTAGCTGATAGTACAATTTAAAACTCTTACAGCTTCATGCTGGGGACTGTAGGAAAATATTCGAGAGGGATGTAGTTGGGGAAACTGCAGCAGACCATAGAATTAGCCTTGAGTGCTATCAGTTTGAGATGGGAGAACTTCCTAGTGTGACCTAGAGTACTTCAGTATTGAACAAATTTGAATTGTTGGCAGACATTGCACAATGGGCTTCAAAAAGCTTGTATCTTCATCCTAAGGTCTAGGTTCTCTAATTGACATTTGAACACAAAAACTATGTAGTTCATACAGTAACTTCTTTTCCAGGACTTCAAGTTCACTGTGTTTTTGCACTGCTATATACCTGAAGCACTCTGGCACATGCAGTGTGGGTTTGTTGTTTTTAAAAAAAAGAGCTCTGGCTAATTGAGAGAATGATTTCTCTTTCTCATTTATATACGGTCATCTACTCTAGCTCCTGGGAGAAGGTTCTGTGCCCAGAAGAGGTCAGTGTAAAGTGTAGCTCTTGAAGATGAGCTATGTTCTTCATTAAGCTGCTCTAGTGGTAAATTACTGATACAAAAAGCCTAGTGACATTTACTTGAGGTCAATTTTAGTTCCAACGTGAAGTTGTTGTATATCTCTGTCTGCAGACTTCTGAATAAGTACTTAAGCACAGTAATTGAATTGCTTTGCTTCTCCTCAAGCTCCCTACACTGTGATTCTCAAGTCTTGCATGAGATGAATTCTCCAACTTCTGTTGACCTCTTTTGAATAGTCTTGTAGTGGCTCCATTATATTCTCATGGCCATTTTAGAAATACTGTCAGTAAAGAAATACTGCTTCTAATTGAACCTTTTCTTATATGTTAAAATTTGCAATAGCATTTTTCCCCCCACTCGATAAGGTACTGAGCTTGTTTGAGGCTTTTCATGTAAGAAGCTCTTCTGTTCCAGTCCCTAGTTGCTGCTTTTCAAGGTGGTGTTATACTGAATCCTTCCTCCCTGATCTGTTTTATGATGACAATGTAACAGTTTAACTTAACCAGGCGGTTCAAAATTTTCAAACTTTAATCTCATTCCTGGTCCTACTTTATTTATTCTGAGTTTAAAACGAGTCAGTGCATGACTACTGACAGACTCCTTTATCAGGAATATTGCTAAAAATGGCACTGATCTCCCCGATTGACAGTTGTGCTTCGTTAACTAGTTTCTAATGTGTGTCTAATTCAAGAGCTGTATTTATATGTAGTTGATGAGGGGCAACCAGGGATGCCATACAGCCTACTAGCTCTGGGATCTGCTTCTTTAAAAGGGGAAAGAAGAACTTTTTTTGCTTTGAAAGAAAGGACTTAACTGGTTTGGGACTGTCAACACATGTAACCTAACTTTCCTTTGTCTTGACTAGTACGGATGTTAAAATAGCCAATGTTTCTGGAATTCTTACCCTCCCCAGGATCAAGGATTCTTTGGAAACTGCCTGCCTTTTCTAAAACTTCTGGAAAACTAATACTGTGGGTTCAGATCCCCTCAGCTCCTTTATTTTTAAGAGCCAAGTTGCTTAGATTTAGTGCTTTTTGGGTATAGGGGTTTTATTTTGAGACACTTGCTAGAACTGCACATCTATGGTTAGTGGTGGTAAACTTGTTATTTTCTCAGTAGCCTGTGGGCTTTGGATACTGGCTCCTACTCATTTACAAATCAGGAAAAAAACTGCACTGAACAGCTTTGTCTTTTCTACACCAATTCTTTTGTCTGTGTGGCTACTGAGTAGCTTGTCATACTGCACATCCCATGCCACCTTCTTTGGAGGTTATGTTCCAGTTTTTGTAATGTTTCCCTCTGCAATTTCAAATTTTGTTAGACTTCAATTACAAGAAATGACAGTGACAGGGCAAATGTTACAGTACTTATGAGTGAAGTATTCCAGCTATAAGGCTCTCCATTTAATATAGGCCTTCCCACTTTTCGAAGGGACTATTCCTGGGTATTGAAACCTAGTTATTTAAAAAAACCAACAAACTGTTACCTTGGTTAAGTATGGGCCTGTAACTCCACATGAAAAATCAATGTCTCTTGTTTATTGTTGTGGTTTTTTTGGTTTAGTGGGTATGTCGCTGTCATGTCCGAGTCCCTTTTAGCTTGGTGTTGAAAAGGAAGTGTTGGGATTCTTTTTACAAAGTAATGCTGTAGACACAACTATAAAGCTTTCTGTAACTTTTCACTGAGGCTCATTGCTGCAGGTTGATACCAAGAAATTAGGACTGACATGTCTAAAGGAGAAAATAAACAGGTATCTGCTGGGTTGTACTTGAGAAGGGGGGTTATTGGCAATATTTTTTTTTGCTGTTAATAAATGTACTGGGAGGAAAGGTTTAAATTGTAATTCCAGATGGTGAATTCCTGGGCAGTTTTTTGGTATTTTTTGGTGTGTGTGTGTGTGTGGTTTTTCCCCTCTGGAACATCATCCCCAACGCTGTACCTTTTTTAGAATTAGGAACTGGCAGTATCTTGTGAAAGGATCTTCTCAATCTAGAAACTCTTTGCATATGGAAGTGTTGGTACTGTTAATTACCAACATGATGTTAAGCTGTGTGAGGGGTAAACTTGGAGGTTTTGATACATCAGTAAGTTCCAATCTTCAGTTTAAGCTTACAAGAAACTCTACTAAGATATTTTTGATTCCCCAGTGAAGGTGGTGTTTTCAAGGCTCATCTTACTTTTCCAAAAGACTATCCACTGAGGCCGCCAAAAATGAAATTCATCACAGAAATCTGGCATCCAAATGGTAAGAAATGTCAAAGTTTCAATTTCTTTTTGCAATTAAGAACTAAAATGCGGTGAAGACAAATGGATACATTTCTGTTCATGTTAGAAATATGAAACTCTGTTTTCTTTGCCATCTTCAATTCATAAAGGAGTAATAACCATGGCAGAGTTTTTAATAGTGCTGCTCCTAGCGGCTGCTCCTAAAGTATTTTCAGAAGCTGCTGAAAGTAGCTTCTTGAATGCTTGGTAACTGTTCAGGGATTTTTTATTATTATTTTTTTCCGAAGTGTGAAATTCTGGTCTGAGAAGAAACTTGACTTCTGTAGCTGCCTTTTGTTATACCTTCAAATATTTCATCTTAGTAATACTAACTTGGCAGTTCAGTATAGAAGGCCCAAGGTTGTCCTCTGGTGAAGCATGAAAGGAAATACCGGCATCTTTAGTCCCTCCAAAGGAGGAGACTCCTAGTGTTTCATTTACTTACGGACTGCTGGATGTAGATGGGAAGGTAAAATAAAGGGAAGAAGGTTTTTATTGGGAGGGAAAGTACTCGTTCTGTTTCTGAAGTCATTATTGAAGTTGTAGATGTTGAAAGCTAGGAGGAGACCAGCACAGTGCTCCCGTCATAAGGGACAGGGAATATTTTGCTGCTGTGTCAGTTTTAGCTCTGGAAATATCAGAGTACTTGTCAGGCAGTTTCTAATTCCAGCAGCTTAAATCATATTCCAATATATTGCAGTAACATCCAGCTGATGCTGTTGCTGTGGAAAAAAAGTCACTCTCCAGATTGCTGAACTTAACAGAAAAAGCTTTACTGGAAGGCTGTCTAAATAGTTGTGAAAGTTGCAGCGTGATGTTAGAATTAAGTTCTTCCTCCCCATGTGCCCTTTCTGCCAGAAGTCCAGGCATAATAACAGGCTTCCAGCAAGCCCTATTTGTTACAGATTGAGTTCTGCAATAGTTAATTACTTTCCTGTCTTCACTAACATGCTTTCAGACTAGCTGGAGTGAAGATTAACAGTTCCATAACTATCCTGAAGAAATGCCAGCATGTTGTTCATTACTGAAATATGCCTTGTTCTATTTTGTAGTTGACAAGAATGGCGATGTCTGCATTTCAATTCTTCATGAGCCTGGAGAAGACAAATACGGCTATGAAAAACCTGAGGAACGTTGGCTTCCCATTCACACAGTGGAAACTATAATGATTAGTGTTATTTCTATGCTGGCAGATCCCAATGGTGATTCTCCTGCTAACGTTGATGCAGCGGTAAGATTTGTTTTCTTGGTCTGGCAATTGTCTTCAGTGTAGAGACTGGAACTTGTAATGGGGTGTTGCTTCTGGTCTGACAAACAGTACAGTAACTTTTGGAATAACCTTTTATATCGCAGGCTAAGGCTACCTCTTTGGGAGAAGAGTCATGTTGTCAAAGAGAATAACTAGTTAGCCCTGGGAAACTTCGAAGAGATTGCAAAGGAGAGATGCTGTCAAGTTTCATAGGCAGCGGATTAATTTATTTTCTGCAGTAATGCATTTCTCTCTACTAAATGCATTGTGCACAGAGATACTGAATCAATAAACTTCAGCTCCTTTAGTCTTTAAAAAATCAAGGAAGCTGGCTGTAAAATCTGTGTGGCTATACACATATGGTGATTACAGCTGCCATTAAGTTTAGCTGCAGAAGTTAATGTATTCTGGAACCTTTTTTTTTGTTCCTAGTATGTATAATGCACCAACTTTTATAACCTGTTAACAGATCTATTGATTTGAATGGAAGGAGAGAATGTGGTGGGGTCCCTCAGTATAATTACGCTGTGATATTTTATTTTTGCATCCACTTCTACAGCAGCCTTCCTGGATCATGGATTAAAGCCGTAGGTTTGACTGTGTAGGTCTGTACTATGAGAATGTACTTGAAAGCTTCACGAGGCACCTGGCCTTCAGCTCTGGAGGAAGTGTTGCCCCAGACTGGAATGACTGGCTAAGGAGTGAGGAAGAAAGGCTGGTTTACAGTCCAGACCAGGGTGAATCTGCAGTCAGGGTTCAGTCCTAAGTGAGAAGCGTTTCATGCAGCATGGTGCTTCTGGAGCATGGCCTGTTCTGCATGGATGTATAAACACAAATAGCAGCTCTCTAGAAGAGCTGTGTTTATAGCAGAATAGCAATTAAACTAATAACTGTTTGTGGTAGAGAGAAAAAATTCTTGGGTTTTGGGGGGGTGGAGACAGGGAGTAGGGGAACAGGCTTCAGGCCCCATTCATCTGAGACACACCAACACGCTTTTTCCTTTGAACTACTGCTGAATTGCAGCTCAGCAGTGTCTAATACATGCTGTCCTCTCACAAAGGAGGAGTTCTAGGTCTTTTAACTGGGGGAGTGAGGAAAAGGGAGACGGTAATCAGAAGGTGCAAAGTTTTCTAGAGGGATGTTAGCTGGCTTGACAGAGCAGGTTATACCTTCCCAAAGTGGGTGGGAGTTTAATTTCCTGAAGCCTTTGATCTGCTGTGCTGTATTTCCAAAGATGGTTGAGCTCTGCTGAAAAGTCATCATGGGAATAGTCTCATATGGAACAAACTTGATGGGAAGAAACCCAAAAAGAGAGATAGAAAGTCTTAGTGAAGAATTGCCTTGTTTAAGTCTCTTGAGTGTTGGACCTCCCCTTTTGGTGTTACTGGTGGAAACAAATACCCAGGACACGTGGGCCTTTTCTGCTGGCAAACCTTGAGAACACTCGAAGGAGCAAGTTATTAATGAAATGCTAAAAGTACTTGAATTTGTAAACTGAGGAATTCTAATGTAGCTGACCTAACACTGGAGAAAGCTTATACTTTTAGCTCTGCTTGTTCCCTTCCTAGCATCACAAGTATTTTAATATTTCCATATTGTGCCCCACTCTGTGAGCTACTTCAGGAGTGATGGTTTTTGTCTTGGAGAGAGATGTTAGCTAGAAAACTATAGATTTGTTTACCTGAACCTTATGGTAAAGGTTGAAAATATCTTAAAGAAACACAGCCTTTTCTAGGCAAGCTTGAAAGAACAAAATCCAACTGTGAAGACAGTGCTATGACATCACTCTGGATGTTGGGAACTATTTTTCTGACTGTGGTATTGGATGTTCCAAGTAACTTTTAAACTTAATGTCCTGCTTGACCAGCTTAGCGTCTCCTGCTGGATTGTAGATTGTATCCTCTTCATATTAACCAAAACATACTTCATAGGGGTAATGAAGAATCAGCAGCTCATGTGCTTTATTCAGAGCTGCTATCAAGATGTTTTGTAGTTGGTTTACTAGGTACAGGTTTACTGCAGCAACAGTACTTGGCAGTTACAAAAGATAGCTGTTACTAGAGATTAAAGCAGACAAAGTGAGTCTAGAGAATAAGGTGTTAGAGGCAGGTCACAGCATTATAGGAGCAGGGGATATACCTGCTTTCTGGAAAAATTAAGTATGCATGTTGGAGTGCTGTCTCTTAGAGTGGGAGAAAAATGAGGGACAGGAGCCTGAACAGATATTGTGAGGGGCAAATAGAACAGTTCATGATGTAAAATAAGAGTTTTGGAGAGATTGCTGTCAAATTGGAAACTTTGCTTGCTATTCAATTCTGAACACTGGTTTCATAGAAGTACAAATATGAAAGGTAGAAACAAAACCTAAGAATCTGAAGCTAGGAGGGCACAAATTCAATGCTTTTCTTGGCCTTAAGCCATGTTGTGTAAGTGTCCTGTGTCCCAATCTGAGGAACCAAATGCTTGCTGTATTAATTGCTGAAAAAGAACAAATTAATTAGTAGTCTTATTTGTGCTTTCACTGGAAAAATATGTCATACTGGGCTTTCCAACGTGCTGACTGGCTGGGTGAGCTTGGAGGTGGTAAATGTTAGGATATGCCAGTGACCCTAACTTTCTGTCACTCAAACGTGCTACAACCTTCACTGCAAGTAGGGGGTGAAAAGGTGTTGTGTGCTAGGTTGCTTCAGGTAAAACTGTGGTGGTGTGTTTTTTAACTCCCTCCCTTGCCCCAGCAGTGAGAATATATTGCTTATATCAACCCAACAACTGTAGGATTTATTTGATGAAGTAAGGTGTTCTTTATCATTTCCCACCACTTCTTGCCTGTGAGGCAGCACAGACCACGTCAACCTTAATCATATCATATGATGCTCCTACGCTTTCATCTGAGCTCATCATGAGACTGGTACAAAAAAATTGTAACTGGCTGCACTTTTTCCGGTGGGTTTTCATAGTACCATGGTGTGCACATCTCCAGGTTCAGACTTACCTCTTGCCTATCTTCCTGTTTGTCTTGGTTCTTCATCCATGCGGTTCTGGAGTCAGATGCCTGTTGCAGAGACCATCCCATAGGTGCGCTGTGGATTCTGTTAAGGGCTTTCTCATGGAGTCAGTATCTTGCAGCCATATGTAACTAGGGGGTGTTTTCATTCTAAGGACGCTGCTGTGCCTCTTCTGAGTACTGCAATTTCTATGCTTCTATCCTGGAGTGTCCTGGCTGGATTGAAAGGGCTTGAAAATGTCCTAAAAATCTCAGAATAACTACTGGCTCTGCAGTAGCTGTGTACCTTTTTTCATCACTGCAGTTGAAGACAATTTCTCTAACCCATAACAATAGCTTGTGGTCTAGAGTGAGTTTGCCGCAACTTTGCAGGCTGAAGTAAATAGATTCCATCCTAGATGTTGTGAATTATTGGTAGCCACCAGGTTAGTCTTGGAGAATGCCTAAAATTCAAGGGGGGAAGGCTGCATCCTCACTGTCTTGTGAGCAGCTTGCATAGAAATGTGGAGCAAGCTTTCAAAAGTCCTGAATGCTACAGGTTTTCAGCTCAATGATTGTAAGTAAGTCTAGGTGTTGACTAGATGGCTAATGTCTGAAAACATAAACAGCAAGAGCCTTCCTACGACTTGTACGTTGTTATAGGACTGACATCTGAAAGCTGTCTATTCAATTACAGAAAGAATGGAGAGAAGACAGAAATGGAGAATTTAAAAGAAAAGTTGCCCGCTGTGTAAGAAAAAGCCAAGAAACTGCTTTTGAGTGACACTTATTCAGCAGCTAGTAGCTTCACTTTTTTCAGGGTAAGTATCCTTCTAAAGACAAGTCAGTTACCTGAGTTGAGGATTTCCTGCTTAAGTATTGCTGAACTGATTTTTTTTCCCTCAAAAAAAAAAACAAAAAAAAAACCAAAAAAAAAAAACCAAAAAAACCCAACAAAACCCAAAACCTTTCTTCTCAGCTGCATAGTCTCAGTGGAGTTCTCTGGCTGTATGCAATACAAAAGACTAAAAGAATTTTCGTGTGCAATTACAGCCCCTTCTGCCAAGACTGGGGACCTTCTCTAGTGATCTTGTGTTTGTGCTGTTCCAAAGTTGAAATTCTCTTTCTCAGCATTCATCCTGCTTTATTAGTGCTTAGGGGTTACTAGAGCTGTAACAGAAGGGAGTAACCATTCTTTCATGTTCATTATTGTAAAGAACACTTGTTTGAATCTTAGAAGTATCTTGTCTTGCTATCTCAAGGTTTTATATCTATCTATATATATGGGGTTTATCTTGCAGATGTTGGTTGCATGTTGCATGTAGGTTTTAAATAAGACTTAGGTTGTTGGGAACCATTTGGAAAGGATTGCTTCAGGTGTCTGTGGGAAGCTTAATAGAAAGTCTGCTAGCATATCAGAAAGGATCAAGTTGAGATTACCCATACGTAATATCAAGACAGGTAGTGTTCTCTTCAGCAGCCCAAAACCTTTTTTACTGAGGAGGGCTCAGGAGTAGCTTCTGAAAAACGGCTGTATTCTGGAAACTGAGCTGTAGCACGTCTGAGTGCCTGGACAAGCTTTAACCTGAGAGTAGCTGATGTGATATTTGCACTTTATGCCACCCTGTTAAAAACAAGCTTCTGACTCAAGGTACTTACTCTAATTTGAACAATCCTATCCTAGTTTTAATAGGATCTTTATTTTTTACAATAAGCTCTTGTAGAAAGCTCTGTACTAAAATGGTCCTTAAATACCTGGCCTTCGGTCACTTAAATGTTGGTATGCCAAGGAAAAACTTCCTCAATGAGTAAATAATTTCCCACTCTTATTTTTCAAAGCAAAACAGAGCTGTTTGTTGAAGCTGCCTTTTCTTAACAGTTGGTTTGGCAAATAAACTGCTCTGACCCATTTGGCTGGAGAAGCCCAAACCCGTATGTACTAATTAGCTTCACTGTATGAAACTTGGGGACACTGGAAATATGGCATGGCATGTAGTTTAAAGGGGTTGTACTGTCTGAACGACTAGAACAGGTTACTAAATGCTCCTTCTAGTTAGTTTTTCTCCAAGGTTGTACAGGAGATACTTCCTTTCTTACACTTTTGTAAGAATTGTGGGGGTTGGGGGTGGGGGAAGGCTCCATCTGTGACAAACTAGTGCTGCAGTATCTCTTCTCTGCAGAGATGCTTTGATTGAACAGAACTTTCTCCAGCACAGAGGCAGCATGAAAAATGCTTAATACTGATCAAAAGACTAAGCAAAGGAACTGAATGTCTTGTACAACCGTCTATAACTAGAGTGTAAAAATTGTTAATGCAGCTGACAGTTTGTTCTCCCTTAGAGAAAGGGAGTAACTGTAACGCTCCAGAATATCCTTAACTAACCTCAGCTCTGTTGCCATGTTAAACTTGGCCATGGTGAAACAATGCTCATGACAAATACTGAAGTAATTGGCTGTGTTGCTTTTTTGGAAGGCAAAAGCTTTTCTAAGTCCTGGTGACTCCTCCTAAGTAAGTGATGGGCAATGAATTGGATGAGAAGGGGCCACATAGCTGGTTTCAAACAAGCACAGTCTGACTTGGTAGCTGTGGTGTTATTGCTTACTGAAGCACTGCACTGTCATTTTGTACTGCACTTCGCTGTTGAAGCAGCATCCATCATTCACAGTAAGTGATGCACGGAAGTTTCAATGATAAATCTACAAGTGTTGAGCCCTTTTTGTGTGAATAATCAAACGTTTACGCGCTGTGCACTTGAGAAGGAACACGAGTAACAGGAGCCTGAAAGTCTGATAGTTGAGTGTGGATACACAGTATGCTGAACTAACTCGAGTCTTTCTCAGGTGATGATTTTGGATTTATGCATCTTCTGTTTAGAGGTATGTGAAGCTCTTGAACAAGTAATGAGTATCTTCCTTGAGCCTGAAACGCTATTTAACACCTTTAAAATAATTGGGGATGATGAGGGGTTTTATTTTAATACCTGTGATTTCTTTGTAGGTCTCCAGTTGAGAATCATGGCACTGTTTTTTTTCCTGCACTCTACCCACCTATTGCTGGACTTCTGTTGTTACAAGTTGGCAAACACTGGCTGGAACTGGGCTGCAATAAAACATGCCAGTTATCAATGCTGACAAGAGCCTAACAAGTGCCAACACGAGATGATTACGCGTTTTGAAATCTAATAAACTGCTTTAACCTTCAGGAAGAATTGTAAAGATTTGTACATAGCACAACATGATCCGGATAATATATATACTGTTCATGTACATCCACAAATACACATTGTACCAAATAATGCTGTCTGTAGTTAGGAATAGAATTGTGTAAATTCTAAAGATTTTAGCAGGTTTTTCTCTCCCTGGTCATTGTTTCCTAGCAGTTTAAAAAAACAAAACAAAAAACAAACAAAACACGACAACAACTTGTGAAGCATGTCAAACTAAAACCAATTAGGATAAAGTTGGGTTTTTTTGGCTTGTGTTTTTCTCCCCCCCCCACTCTAATTTTCCTTTGACCCACTGAGGCTTAATTAAAATCTCTTGCTTATTAAAATTTAGTATCTTTATTTTGGAAATGTACTCCCTTTTATTTCCCCCATCAGAACTAAATATTTTCCTAATTAAACCCTGAAAGGATTTGCTATCAATTACTTATGTCTGCTTTTATAATGACCTCTGTAGTCTCAAAGGTGCTTTCCCCCCTGCCCCCTGTCCACTCCTTTTTTTAAGCCCAATTGCACATACTTCTTGAATTGGGTATAGCAATAAAACTGGCCATGGTGCACCCTTGAGCAGCCTGCTGGGTTTTTAACTTCTGAGGGACTGGAGTGTGTTCATTGGGAAGTTCAGTTGACTAAGTTAGTCCAAGATAGGAATGAGCTGCTTCTCATGGGTGAATTTTTCTTTTTGCCTTTTTTCATTGCCTGTTTGTGGGGTGGGCGGTGTGTGGGGAGGCTTGTTTTTTTTCTCAAGGTTGAGTTCAAGCATGCACATCTATAGGCTTTCAAGTTACTAACTTCTGGGTTTGGTATGAAAAATAGTTTTCCTCCTTTTCCCTTTCTCTCTTCTGTGGCCCTTCATATTCTTTGCCTTCTACTTCAGAGTTTTCCTCACCTAATGTACAAAGAAAATGGCGATGTATATTTTCATGTAATTTGATTTTTGGAATTCTGTCACCTTCTGTAGTGAGTTCTTCCAAAATATAATTTTTTCCAATAATAACGTGTCAAACTGGCTGTCTTGAGTATCAAAATAGGAAGGGTAACTGCAGTTGGAGCACAACTTACCTGAACATCTTAAACAACATAATATCGGGAAACACTTGCTGAATTTGGAATACTGTATTTTATCTTGAAATCATTAAAAAGCAAACAACACACCTTTCTTCCTATTGTAACCATCTTTGGCCCTCTAGTGAGCAAATACTAATCTTGGAGTACCTGTACCAAGAGTTTTCCAAAAGCCTGCCAAAGGCACTTTATAGAGGAACTTGCAGCTACTTGACTGTTCTCTGCTCTGCTGCAGGTTTACCACAGCTTGTAACAGCACAGAGTAACCCACTAATAAGCCAAGAGTTCTGGTGTTGAAGAGTCATCTTGTAAGAAGCCTTCAGTACTAATTTTCTAGCTGGCTGGACTTCATTTCAGGTTGCTGTGCAATGTGTGTATACTAAAAGTGTATATTACAGGTGTCTTGAGGGGTGGGCTGGGGTGGAAGGAGATGACTGTGGCAAGACAGCCATGTGGGACAGAAAAGCCATTTAGTAAGTATAAGGTGACTTACAAGTAAAGGTTTTCCTCCTGCAAGTGATCTAGGTAAACATAGATGTGGTTAATGTCCACATTTACATTTTTGGTAACTAATTACTTTGAGAAATCATTAGCTAAATTTGCTTTTAATTGGATAGCCTGCTCACAGAGGCAGGCACCTGTGTGCAGTACTTCAGAGCTATCAGAGCCCAGACACACGAGCTGATTTGAGTTCCTGTTTTGAGTACTGGCCTAGAGGTTTCTTGCCCACCAGCTGGCTGATACTGCACTTACCGAAGAGCGGGGACCGTGCAGGATCTCAGCGGCACGGTGCCATTCTTTCCATAAACTCAGCATTGGGAGGCAGCTACTCTTCCTAAACCTAGCAGTGGACTTCCCCTGTGGGCTGCCCTTCGTTTTCCCTCTCCACAGCGCATCCAAAGAGCTGGCAGCAATTCAAGATAATGGGTACTTGCTGCTTTCAGCGAGTTCAACAGCGTTCTCTGTTTTGTCTGAGTAACACATACGGTTCACAACTGACTCATCTGTAAACTTCACAACATAGTTCAAAGCTTTATTTTTCTCATTTGTTCTCCACAAGAGCTGCTTGTTTGTTCTTTAAGGGGCAGGCCTGGAAACGTTAGTCTGGCGTCAGCAGTATGGAAGAACTGTTAATTCCACAGCAGTGTTGGTTCCCCTCTTTGTAAGTTATACAAATATAAACCTGCTTCTGTTTGGGGGTTTACCCAGATGGTTTGTGATGCCATGTGACCCAGATATTCCAGAGGAAGGAGTGTTACTGTGGGATACTGTTCAGAAGCTGCAGGTATGGCTAATGCCCAGTGACTCGATGAAAGAGGCAGCTAAGGGTCTGGTGCCAAACGTCCAGGTTGTAGAAAGCCTCTGGCAGGCATGGAAATCGCCAATTTAACTTTTCTGTGACCGCAGTTGGCTTTTTGTTTATTCTTGATCCACACGTGAAAGGGATCTGGCTATGATGGTTACTGTTGTGACCAGAAATTTCTACTTGGCCTCAAGCTAGGAGCACCATTGGTGAGATGCAGTACATACAAGTAGTACTGGAATAGCTGCTGAACAACCAAGTAAACCAGCATTCCTACTCGGTTTCAGTCCTACCAAGATCTTGTATCCAGGTTGGATTCTGTAGGCTGTCAGCATACTGGATCATCAATTACTTTTACTAATTCTCTGGATGCTTGTAATTATGGCTTAGTTTTTGTGCTGTCTTTTCCCCCAACAGGTGGTGGCCTCCTTTCCAGATAACACTGCATCACTGAGGGAAGAGGAAAAGCACGGAATTTTAATAAATATCAAAGTAGTATGGCCATCCTAATTCCTTCTTTGTATTTCTCCGTGCTGCCCCTTATGCATCAGAGGAGATCTCTGTAAAAATCAGAAGGGCAGTTCAGCTGTCATGCTAAAATTCTTCCTTGCTGTGAAGCCTAGGAGACGCTTATTGAAGCTAGATGATCAATAAATGGAGAATGTTCATTCTGGAGGGATTATAAGGGTATTTTGGTTTTTTGGTAGGCCGATGGGGGGTGGACTTTTTATTGTGTCTATACCATCTGGTGCACTGCTCTTGGTACGGTGCCATCACAGTGCAAACAGAGGAGCACCACAAGTCTTATAATTTCTGCGTGTCTTCAGAAGTGTGTACGAGTGATTTCAAACCAAACCAGAAGGTGCCCGGGTTTTGCAGAGAGGCTGTAGTAAGACTGCTTCCTGCCCAGGCAAATCCTCAACAGAAGATGAGATCGCCGGTTCCGCAGACGCAAAACACAGCAGTAGTTTGAAATGTGATCTCTGTTGTTGCTCAGAAATTCAACTAAATCTGATCAGGCAGTAATAAGTTTCCTCGCAGTTACTCAAGATGATCAATAGCACCATAAAGCAGCGGTGTAAGTTAGCTTCGTAGCAAAGCCATACACATTTGTCATTGAGCTGTGAAAAATGAGGCGGGTGGTGTTCCATGGTATGTCTGTGAACCACAGCCTCTGGCTCTCCTAGGTCTAGGCCTAGTTCTGGTTTTGCTGTTTTATCCAACAGGCACAGAGAACTAAGGTACGGGGCAGAGCAACTTTTGAAAGATCACTTAATGGTGAAGTCAGGACGAAATTATGTCTGTGAAACAGTACTGTGCATTGTATGTGCAAAGATTTATTTGAAATTTGCTCTTTAAAGCAAACCAAAAAATTGCTCTTGGATCCGAGTGGAATTTTTTTTGGTATTTCTGTGGCATCCAGGCAGGGTAGATCACAAGCAACGAAAACAGCGGCAGGTCGGCTGCGTTGTACACGCGGCTTGAGAAACGATCTTGTTACTGGTCCTCGGGCATTGCCTGTCTCGACTCTCGACCACACGTTTTACCCACCGGGCACAGACGCAGTTGCCAGGACTCGGTTCTGAAGCAAAAGCAGCCCGTGCAGGAACGGAGGGAACGATGGCACCAGCAAGAGCTGTGCGCTGCAGAGCCCCCATGAGACGGCAGAGCC